CGTTTTTGTTAGCATTTTTTTTTTTTTTTAATAAGATTATTTTACAATACCCAAAAGTCCCCATCACTCACTGACTAATAGTAATTTTATTTTAATATTTTTGAATCTACCTATCGTCGATTTGAATAATTTATATTTTTTTATTATGGTATATGAGACCATTTTTTAAATAATTCAATTTCCATGTGATTTTTTGACACAATTTTTATAAGTTCACATAAAATTGATAGATTCGTTTATATACCGTTTAACCACTTGAGTGATTTCTCATATTCTACTTGTACTCGTGTGTGACGGAAACAATGAATGCATGCCACCCTTTATTGTGACCTTAGAGAGTGACAATATTTTTTAACCCTCAAGCATTAGCATAATTCTTGGCCTAATCTCGAGGTATGGTATACCCCCTCCCCCCCCCAAAGATCTTATACCTGGTAGCAGTGCCAACAGTGCCATCGAACACTAGAGTGCAAAATATGTACCGGTCAATGTGTTGAATAAACGAGTGCGGTTAGGTTTAGTTAAACGCGGGCGATAAATCGATTAGGACCAGCGATCTGCGACGGAAACATAATACGCGTATCGCATAATATATTATTATTATTTATTATAATAACGTTACGACGATCATGGCCCGCTGCAGTGCACTCGGAGGCCTTTCCACCATCCCTAAAGCCGACACCGCGGGCACACGTAACGTCGACGATATAATAATAATAATAATAATAATAATAACGATAATAATATATAGAACAGCCGGGCGGCGGCGGCGGCGGCGACGGCACGAGCGGACGATGAGACGGCCGGCCAGACCTGGCGAATGGACGACCGCCGCAGAGGAGACGACGACGACGGGTATATAAAATATATTATACATATAGGTAGGAGGTATGATATACATACATATATATATATATATATATAAAATATAATATACGGATGAAAAACGCGTTTCGTCCGGCCGAGGCGATTCATACGTCAATCACTGTTGTTTCGCGCGTAATTGCCCGCACGGACAGGCGGCGGCGGCGGCGGACCAAGAACAATGCGCGTATACTTATATTTATATATTATGTGTACGTACGTAAGTAAGGGGAGGGGGGACCCGCGGGAGAGTGAGATAAAACGAGATTGATTGGTATGTGTGTGCTCGCGAGAACCGCGCGTGCGTGCGCGTGTACTTTTGCCTTACCGCGAGTACCATGTCGATATATATAATAATATAACGAAAATAATTGTCCGTTTTTGTAATACAAGCAGTGTTGTAGTACGACGCGCATGATATATTATTATTACTATTATCATTATCATTATTATTATTATTATTATTATCATTATTATACGCGCATATAATATGTGTGCTCGCGCGATAATATTACAACGCACAATGCGCCCCGCGTTCTCGAATTACTAGTCCTCGGCCGGCCGGCTCAACATAACAATAATAATTACAATACGTCGGCGGCGCCTTTGCAGCGCCGAAACGGTCGCCTCGCTCGCACACAACCCGAAACGTCCCATTATCCCGATTTCGTTCCCTTTTTATCCCTTACATCCCTATGGGGGGGGGGGGCATGTTATGCACATACGAGTATTGTGTGTGTGTGTGGCAGCGACGACTACGACGACAGGGTCCTTTGAAATCTCACCCTCAACCCTCTCGTCGCACAATGCCAATGGACACGATGACGAGCGCCTCGCACGCGTTGTATACATTATTATTCCGCGCGATCGACCTGTTGCGACTTTCGCCATTCGATTCCAATGTACCGTTGTGGGAGGGGTGGGGGTATGTATGAAAAACGAGCCGGTCCGTCGCGATTAATTTTTACCGTCCATTGTACACAAGTATTTATAAACATATAATAATATACTACGCAGTCGACACGAATGCAAAGAAAAAAAAACATTATATTATGTACATGAAAGGAAGAGTGGAATCGTGTCCGAGTCGAAAAATATGTGAGATTCTCCGCTGATGAGAAACTGAAATCGCCTTGCGATAACAATAATAAACCCTCGTCAAAAAAAAAACAACCAAAACACTGCCGAGAAAAGGGAATCGAGAAACATAATATTATATTGTGAGGAATGTGAAAAAAAACTGGAATTAATAGGGAAACTATTCACTTGTTAATATACGCGTATATCATTCAGTAAGGTGGGTCAGCTGATAATCCATAATTAATTATACGTTAATTTAAGTGCCTAAAATTAATTAGTCTTATAATATTGTCTATTGCTTTCATGAATACACTATAGACTATTACAATTACTATATTTGTTAAAAACAGTTCCTGGTCGGGATTATAATAATAATATAATATAAAGGTCTTCTTCCATGCATAAGATATACTGCGTGTGATGAACTCGCACAATGATGGGTATTCGATGATGAGTGTTAATTTCACACAGTTTTTACCTGTGTCGTTCATCGAAACGTTCGGCGGACGAGCAGACGACAATTGTATAAAAAAAAATATATTATATACAGAAAAAAATTGGAACGGAAACACGAGAACCCTTGTATACAATAGATATATGGATTAATGTGCATATATGCGCCTGTGCTCCGTCGAGTAATAATAGAGAACTATGCAGCGTATATCACAGGTAGCCGTGTCGACGTCTCCAAATTTACGATCGTCAAGCCAGCAGCATTGTGCAAAAAACCGCACATTATTATTGTTATTACTATTGTCACTGCCATTATAACGTGTATATTATTATTATTATATAATATGATTGAGATATTTTTTATTGAAACGGTTTTTTCTTTTCCCTGAAAGAAACTCGCAGTGCATTAACGGATCACGACCGTCGACGATACTATCTGTACTGCTGAAACAACAATGAGCGGGACGTGCTATAACGATCATAATACCGTCTACCCTCTCAGTAGGTATATTAAATGTATAATAATAAATATATATCTTTTCCGTGATTTGAAGTGAGGTACACGGAAAAAAAAAAGAAAAATAGGTATAAAACCGAAGAAAATGTCGCTTCGAAAAGTACTACAAATAGTCCGGTCCCGGACGTTGTAGGTACCTACCGCTGCGATGACCTCGCAGGAGTTTTGTTAACGGTATAAAAGAATTTCGAGTCTCAAAATATAACAATATATTATAATATATATAAATGTATACATTATTCTATACAGTGGTCTCCGTTAATGTCGTCTGGCAAAAATACGAATCTTACAAACGGTTCCGTTTAGTCAATGATATGACCGTTTCACTGTGATCGAAAAGTAAACGGAAATAATAATATTATTATTATTATTATTGTAAAACGTTCGTAGCAGTTCAAAATTGAATTTTTTTTTTTCGCTCGCCGAGTACCATTTACTAATATAACATATTAACATCGCAGTGACTTGTACGTTTTTTTTTAGGAGAGAGAGGGAGGTAATATTATACTTACTAAAATAATGTAATCTATTTTTATTATATACATTTTATTTCTCATACTCATTATCATATAGGTTATTTTTTCAGTGTTTTTTTTTTCGTTTACCTTTTGTATTACATAGTTCATAGTTTACAGCGTTTCTTAAAACTGTGGGTCGCGACTCAGTGGATGGGCCGTGAGTCAATTCTTGGCGGTCTTTTGAATTATATAGATTCAAAAAAATTTATGAATTTTGAACCGGTTAAAACATAAATTATAAAAAGTATTAAGTAGGTATGAGAAATCTATAGAAGCCTTATACTATTTTATGAATCTTTATGGTAACAGTATACAGTATAGTATTTATTAATTGAGTCCATAACATATATACGTTATCACGAGTAGAAAAACGGACTTTTATTATCTACGACGGTCTTTTTTAGGCATTGATTAGTTCTGTTGCTTACAAATTACAATGTTATCCACTGCCGTCTGCGAGGTTTTATCAGTATATTTATGATTTTATGAGTGCTTACAATATTTTTCTCGCTGCTTTCACGAAATTGTGTAGATTAGATTATCACGTTTTTATTCACATACATTTTAATTTTTAGAGAGGGATTGCCCCCTCCCCCCAGTTTGTGCAACATACACACAATCGTCATGAAATATTACGACTTTGCCATTTATATAGCGTGTATAACAGTAATCGTCCGTACTCCATTCTACAGTAATCTAACATAGTGACACTGATCCCGCTTATTAAAAATATGATCGCACCAAACCCTTCCAGGTTTATTTTGGTACAAACTGTTGAACCGCTCAGAGTTGGTTATAATACATTAATTATTATGTCTACTCAGACGATATTACATCAAACGGTTAAAACAAGAATCTTAGACAAGGACCAGGATTTTCTGGATACTTTTTAAATATTTATGATATTTTTTAGATTTTCAAAATTATTATTCAAGTCAAGAATTAGGTAAATATTTATGTATTTATATAAATAAACTAAGAGAAAACCACTAAAATAATTTAAAATCCACTTGGCTAATATTATGCTGCCCAATAAATGATATCAGTACACATCTCATGGCTTCTGTAATCTTGCTTAATTTTAAGTTTAATATATAATTAACACGTTCTAATATTACCAAAAAAAAATATTTTTATGTGAAATATATTATATTTATTTGTATCATTAATATTATTATAGTATTATTATATGGCTATTGATCTGAAACACTATGAGCAATGGGCGTAGGTAGGAAATATTTTTTTGTCTAAATCCTAAATAATATGCGAGTTAATAATATTCTGGAACAAATTCACAAAAAGCTCAAGATTGTTTTATTTAATTTCGGGGGGTGTTTGAACACCCAAAACCCTCTCCCCCCTTACCTACGTCCATGCTATGAGCAGTCGAAACTTAAAACTGTATAGATTAAATTATACCGAGCGGAGTTACCCCCCTCCTTCTTGCGGACCTCATTGGTCTCGGAATACTACACTATATTATAATATAATACTATAGACTTACGATTTTTGAGGACAGATTCATACAGTACAGTTACGTATAGTGCCTCATATATGGAGGGCCAGGCGCGGATCTAAAACATATTTACGGGGGGGGCCATCTTAAATACAATTTCGGCCTAAGTATTATAAAAACATTGTACATACCATGTAAGCTAATAGATAAATATTATTATTTAAATACCAGTTTATCAGTACAATAAAATATATAAAATTATTAGATAATTAATAATAAATGATCACTGAACAAAATCCTTTCGTCTTTTAAATAATTAGATAAGTAATATAAATTGTTTAATTAATAATGACACGTAATATATAATAAATAATAATTAATAATAAAATATAATAAATATTAAAAAATGATCACAGAACAAAATCCATTCGTCTTTTAGATTTGGCAAATTCGTCAATTACTTCTTCACAGTCAATACTAATATTTCTATAACAGTTAAGTAATGCAAGTCCATTTAAGCGTTCTTCGGATATTCTTGATCGCATCCAAGTTTTTAGTCGGCGAAGAGAAGAAAAATTTCGTTCCGCAGTTGCTGAAGTGGCTGGTAATGTCAGCAGTATGAGAAAACAATTATAAATAATTGGAAAGGTTTCGGAATCACATCTTTCAAAAGCTATCTAATGATGTTTTTGGAATTTCTTTTTCATTTGTCCATATTTCCAATTATCGAAATAAGAGTATTTTGAGTCGTTTTACTTATATAAGTAGCTGTTGCTTCAGCATTTTTTAAATGATTTTCCAATGCGATATCTCCAGATAATATCTTAAACTTTAAAAGCTCTCTAAAATTTCCTTCGTTCTCTAATGGGTTATCAGATAGATCATTAACGCTTCCATCATCGCGATGACCACGTAAAGCAATATTTTGCCGCCCGAGAAAAATCAAACTTTCAACTATAGGTTTTAGTCTAGATCTATTTTCATTAACTTGTTTTAGGCGCTGTGAATTTATTTGGTTTACTACTTCTAGCTCTGGATTATTATACGATTTTAAAAATTGTTTTCCGTTCAGTACAGAATTTTTATGGTACAAATTATTATCATGCGTTTCAAGGTAACCATCCTTTCCTAATAACTTAGCGAATTTCTTTAAAGGCTCAACTACTAATGACTTTAATTGAGTATGGTTATTAAATCCATGACCAGTTTTATTATGAAAAATAGAACAATAAATACAAAATAATCCACTTTCTGAAGGCGAAAAAACAAGCCAAAAATATTTATTTATATGTTCTTGTTTCAAAAATCGTTTACGAAGAATTCCATTTTTTGTGTGACTTGAATAAGGAAAATTGTAACCTATTGGTGGTTTCCAATGATTTTCAAGTAACTGTTTTTTAGTAAAATCATCAATTGTTGATTTTGAACTTAATGCAATACCAATATCTATAATTATATTTTCTACAGTACCTTTGTTTTGATTTGATGTTGGATCAATGTCTACATTTTTCATAGGTTGATTTGACGAAATGGGAGCTGGGTCGTCTACCATTTCATTGTCTTTAATGACACATTTTTTTTTTTTAAGAAAATTTTGCATAAAATCGGCACTACGCTTTGACATTTTAATAAAATAATAATACAACTATTATACACGTGACACGTTTGATGTTGATTATCGACAGTTACAGCGGCTGTGTGCGTATTGTATCGTAACTATATGTCAACTAACAAATTATCATTAGTCATTACACAATAAATATCGTCAATAATAAAATAGATAGGTACTACATACAGCCAGACATTTTATTGCATCAAACAAGTTTAAATATTCGATTAGATTAGATTAGCTTTTTGACGGCGAACGATGAAAACGGAAACGGCCGAAACGCTATCGGCAAAACAATACATTTTATCGGCTGCCGAAAATAGATATAATAGAAAATCCACCAGTCTACGGGGGGGGGCCATAGCCCCTTGGCCCCCCCCTTGGATCCGCGCCTGTGGAGGGCTACATTTGTTTGAAATAAAAGCCATACACGCCAACTACAAAAAAATTTAAAAATCACGTACCTTGATCTGCAGCTAGTGATTATATTAGGTATGTCCTGTCACTGCAGCAGTTTATTGGACAACTGTGCTCCTCGCAATATCGTCACCGCCGTATTATATTTTGTTTAATTATTTGGAAGTCATCAGTCAACACCGCTTTTTCCCTTGATGTCGATCTGAAGCCGATTCATCTATGGTCGTTCGAGATTTAAGATCACACACGAAAAACTACGTTTACACGACGATGTCGTCTACCGTCATTTCAGTCGACTGAAACAGTGAAGCCGGTTAATTGGTGGTCTTCGAATAAACGAAAGTGTTTACGTGTTTACGTATAGTGATACGACACGGCTTTTCTCGGAATCAATTTTCTGTTTACAGACGGGACTTCCCCATAAACGGGTTTCAACGGATCGCATCGGTATGGAACAGAACACGGGACTGGTCGAGCGATAATGAGATATCACGTCATAGGTAATACTAAAATACGATTAGTATTCAGTTGATCAGTTCGAATTTGATGCTTTTCGCAGTTTGGTGGGCCTTTTGAAACATGGGTGACAGGTGACTATTTACGCTCGCCTAGGCAATGACCTATATTAATATAGTGTAATATAATAATTTATAATATTATATGAATTAATTTTAGTATGAATCAATTCTAACTTAAGTCTAAATTGTAAAGACGAGTGGAGATCATAATAAATAATAATTAATAATCACGATGTAGTGATGTACACAATACAAATAAAGAATACTGTGTTATATTTATATAGATTGTTTCAAAACTTATTATATTATAGAATATTAATTTTTGATGAAATAAGTGTACCTATTCTGTGATAGGTACAAAAATTTAATTATTTAGAAAATTAAATTTAGATTGAATCGATATTAGACGAAAATAAAAGGTTGATAATGAATTTTTCTTAATTACAGAAAATAACGTACTACACGCTAACACTACACTAACATGTACTCACAAAGTATGTAGTAATAATACACTCAATTTTAAGACTAGAAATGTCCATATAACAGTTGTTCATTTAGCTGCAAACAGTTCATATTTTCCCTCTCAAATCTTAATGTTCGTTTAAAAGAAAAATTAGATTATTATTGTTCAAATAAAATGTAGTATAATATAAATAAACTAACGGTAAACAATAAATACTGTTCAACGTTGAACGGAAATCTCTTTAAAAAAAATAGCAGGCAACATATTATTACAGCAACGTTTTTACGTAAACCATAGATAATAACGACCATTGGATAACGTAAACATCACTCGTTCTCAACAGTACCTAAAGTACTTGTAATGTAAATTTTAAAGTAAATTCCAATATTGTCATAGGCTATCGTAAAATATTATGTGGATTTATAATGCTGAGGTCAAAACTTTTAAATTTAACTTAACATTTTACAATGCTCGCTCCACCCTCGTTACATTTATACGTCACTGCATCTAAGTACTCGCTTATTAGGCGGCATAATTTGAGTGAGAACTCAGATGGTGTGGCGTAGGTATCTAGTAAGGGTGCAGGCGGACATTGTGAAATTGTACTACCTACTATTGTAGTTCATGTATAATATTTGACGTGGTAAGTTGAATTTTTGAGAAAAAAACGTACTATGCTACTTGCATAGTTACTAAACATCCCTTGTGTTTCACAGCTTTCGATTTATCAGTCGCTGATCGGAGGACAACAAGTCGAATCACCATGATATTGCGTAGCTAATTGAAATGTTTCGGAATAAATTACTACTTCGATAATCGTAATTTTTTCTTTTGTCTGCAAGCGTAATCCACAAGTGTGAAAAATGTGTTTTTGGTAATACTATTTATTTTTGTGATATTTTTATTTTGCATTGTTTTTCATTTATTAACAAAAATAACTTTTTAACACATTTTTACAGTTAATTTTTTTAGCAAACTTAAATAAAATTATTGTTCAAAATGAATTGTTGTAAATTGCAATAAAAATCAGTAAATTGTGAGTAGAGGGACATCAAATAATATTATAGAGTCAGATAGCATCAAAGTGTGTACAGATATGCAAAGATCTCCATTTTGAGACCACCGTTTTCCTATTGTACCTATCGACAAATAATAATTAGAGGCGTTATATGCGTCTTCTATTTTAATCACTCGTTCGATTTCTTGTTGTTTCATTCACCGTGTCTCGTTTGTGAATATTATTTTTGTGTCACGTGTGTTCAGTTCAAAGTGCCAAATGAAAAATCGCTAACATCAAATAAATTAACAAAATATTATTATATAGGTATACGCCTTGCAGGTAATTGGTATAGCGATCATCGCTCGGCCCCGTGTGAAATGCTGCTTCGCTTGCTCGTGTATGTCGGGGCCGATTGTCCCCAATTTATTATCGTTGATATTTATAAAAACTAAATAGTTTTCAAATTTCTGGGGAATTCATAGCATGATAAGTATAGAATCAGGTATATATATATATCATTATGGTCAAGTGCACGCCGCGCAGTGTTGGTGTGTTCTTCTTACAGTAAGTCTTCTAAATTCTGTGTACACCGTTATCGGTTGCTATATTAATATGAAAATAAAATCGTTTATGATTATGATAATATTATTAAAGGCAGACGTTTTTTTTTTCAGCGAAATCGATTTCAAGATAAACGCGAGGCTCTATAACATAACGGACCGAAATAACTAAAAGTACTCGTATTAAACATCGGTTTGAATTTTTTTTTCGGTGCCTCTGCCCGTTGAAAATTCCTGTAAACGTCGCACCGGCCCCCGTTTTGTGGTCTCGCGATGTCACGGCGGGGAGGGAGAGGGGAACCGACGGATGTACAAACATTATAATATAATAGGTATATATACACGAGCGTATCATTATAATTGGCTTGACCCGCGACCTCACCGGCCCCACACAACACATACACACACACACGCACACTGCCGTATTTATGGATGCGTTTTCGCGTATAATATAATAATATATATATTATATATATATATATATATATATCGTGTACATTATACACATAATATACGCTTTTTGCGACCGCGGAACGCGGCGAATCCGAGTTTAAAATTTATACACATCGCCCCTTCCAAGCACCCCTTCGCCAATAAACGCCCACGCACTTGTATATTATATAGTCGTCGTCGTCGTTTACACACACACACACACTCGATTTTGAGAGAGTATTATTTTATTATGGTGAGCGCGTTTATACATATATACGCAATATAATATGTATATATACATATATATATATGTACGCATAATATAATATTGTTAATTGCGATAAATCAAGTCGCGGCCGCCGCCGCGGTGGTGTGCATATACATGGCGCATTATGTATACATTATATTATATTATACACGGGAAGAGGAGGAGCACCGCAATTATATTATACGGAGAGAAAATTATATACCACGCCTTGTATGCATATGTATATACATTTATCATCATAACGAACGATAATATTGCATGAATATTCATAGCGTCCATATTATAATGTTTATGTGTGTGTGTGTGTGTGTGTGTGTGTGTGTGTAAGCTCGAGGGCCGATAGTGAGTTTACATCTGCGGCGGTCGTCTCTCTTAGCTTTGGGCCCTCGGCTTGTTTCCCGTAGTCCTGCAGCATAACACTGTATTAGAGTTCGATTTTTGGATATCCGCAGTCCCTCCTAGACGATCTAAACGGATCTCTGTAACCGGACACAACAGTTTTGAACTGCAGAAGGCTGACTGGAGGGATAATATTCCCATGTATGAACGTACACTTTTTAAAACCATTAGACGTAGAAAAGAAAATAATTTTGAGTGAGATTATTCAATTTTATTTCAGAACATCAATACACGTACTAGACCACACTAAATACGTCATTAGTTCGATCGGTGCTTGAGTACGATACTATAATTTAGTCTCCACATAAAATATCTTGTACGAACCGATTTAGTAAAGTGCAAAATAAGTTTTTTCAAATGAGCTCATATCATTGTGGTGAAAATCCATATAATTTTCAATTTTTAACTGAAAGACGAGTTGAGTTTACCTTAATTATAAATTAATAAACGACGATACTGATGCTCCAGATTTACTTTCTAAATGATCATTAGCTGTTCCTTTTTTTTATTCAAGAAATCCTCAAACTTTTAAGACGAAATTTAATTTTACCAACTATTAACTATGGATGTACGCAGCCCCACTTGATTGCACTTGCCACGCTATTAATAATTTGTCAAATATTGATATTTTTACGATTATTGGCCATCTATATAATTCAAAATTTTATTAGTTAATAATTATTTTAACTTTTTCTTGTTAGTTTTTCTATTTTTTTCTTTGAATTTTAGCTCATTATCTGAATCTGTACTGTACCTTATGCAGTTATGGCCTGAGGTGTTGATAATTACTTAAAATATAAAATAAAAAATAAAATAAAATATAGTAAACTAGCATAGCGGACCTATTAAATGTATCAAAAGAATAATTTTAGTGTGGTTTTTGCAGTGTATTATAATAGTTTTCGAGGATTTAAGTCACTGAAAACCTGTTGTATTATCTTGTCTCAGTAGCACAACCGGCATGACTTTTTCAGTAGGAGTCTGGCATGGTAAAAAATGTATTAAACAATAACTTGCAAAATACATCTTAAAATTAATATACATTATATATGGAATCATATTTTGACTTTTAGTTATCGCCAGCGAAACGATACCACTTGCAATATTATTATACATTTTATATCGGATTATAGTAGCTCTCATAACACTCTTTATACATCTTTAACGCCGAAATCGGTAGCACCATTTCAATTCATCATCACATTTAAAGGGAGGTACTTCGGATTTTGCACCAGATAAGTCGGTAATAGAATGGTCTCTATAGAAAGGTCTTGACCACCTCTTTCTTTTTT